TTTGGAAACATCTCGACATAGGCTACAAGAATATGCAATAAAAAATGGGGGATCCCATTTAGGATTTTAAAGTTGACTTTTATGTGACTTTCAAACGACAATTCAAAGTCAAGCCAAAATTACCGTCAGATATCTCCCTCTAAACCCTACAACTTTTGTTTGAAACATTTTCCAATAAAATCATCGGTTTGCGAAATATAGCACTGTAAACTTTAAAATTGGACACCTTGTATATTAACCTTGTCTATGATATAATGACTATAAAGCTTCGATAGTGATTTGCCTAACCACAGGTCGACCCACTGAGACTGGGTAGTCACTGCTGTAAACTGGTGACGTGCCATTTGATCCGTAATTACTTCGCTGATGTAAACCAGCTGATGTAACCAACTTGGCCAGAGAAATCGGAATGTTTATCATAGAGAATATATTTTTTGCTATGAATTACAAATTAATATAATACCGAAATGAGAATATGCTTCCCTACAATTTCTCTCTTTTATAAACTAATAAGGGTATAAAGTTAATTTAAAAGTTCTAACATCATAAAACCCATTAAGCACAGAATAATTATATAACATATATATAGTTATATATAACATATAACATGACATCAATTTTATCGTCTCCCTCTCACAATATATAATAGTACACTTATTCAGAATTGAAATTCCTTTTTATTTAACTTAACAATATATTAATGTATAGTAAATAAATGTTAGTATAATCTAGTATTTTATTCATTCATTGTGCTTCCGTTGTTTTATTCCTTCTGTTTGTGATATCGTGAGCCATTCGTTTTCTTCATTCCTTTCTTTTCTGTTTGTCGAGTTTCGAGGTATTTCATTTAAATTCCGTTTTTATGTCGTTTTAATTTTATCGCTACATAATCTATAATGAATAAAAATTAGATTTGTATGATATTTTATTATTAGTTTGAATTTAATCGTAATTTAGTTGTAGTTATTTAATTATACATCACAAAATTCGATTATCAGTGTATCACATTTTAAAATAATTTGCTTTCTTTTCCGACAAGTTGTTTTTACTTTCTGAACATGACTATGAACCCTAGAAATTTGAAACTATTGAAAATAGCTTTCGATCAACAACAATATGATATAGAATCTGCTATATCTGAAAATGAAAAAGATTTTAGTCTACAATTAGAAACCTTAATAAAGGACGCAATTGACGAATCTCTGTTTGTAGAAATTCATGAAGAACTACACTTTGAGGACGCAAATTTCATGTCACATCCATTTGCAATCGAGGACAAAGATCCTAAAGATATGTTAAACATGAAAACAAATTTAGATTCGAGCCTTTCCGAAGATAAAGACATCACTATGACATCACTATAAACAAAAAGCTATAAATTATTGAAAGTCGGGACTGAAACACAAATTAAAATTTGAGTCAGTTCAGACAAAATTTAGACGTTTAAAATCAAAGCGACAGTTATATCGTTGAGAAATACAAGTTTCGAATGATGGAACTCGATTTGAAAAATTAAGGAAAATTTCTCAATACGTATTGGATCGATTCAAAGAAGCTGTGAATAAGTCAGTAACAGTTCATGATTTGGATCTTCGTAGATGGGCTTCAAAAGCTCGAGATGAAATTTCCTTATCGACAAAGTTATTCAAAGCTTCTAATAAAGGGGTTTACAGGTTTAAACAAAAACATGGAATCGTTTCCAGAAAAATAAACAAATTTATCACGCAGAAGTCAATAATTGAGAAAGATAAGATAGAAAAACAAGCTAACGACTTTGTAAACGAAGTAATAAGTGCTATATCTCAAGTTGGGGAAGAAAATATTTTTAATTCTGACCAATCTGGTTTTAATTTTGAGATGTATACCGGACATACACTAACATTTAGAAGCCAACAAAAAGTTGAAGCATTGACACAGTCTGTGCATTCTATGACTTACAGCTACACTATTCAGCCTTTAATTACGGCAAACGGTATTTTATTGTCACTCCTCCTGATTGTCTTGCAACAAAAAGAAGGGCAATTCGGGCCTCGAGTGCAAGAAAATCTGTTTAAAGCAGAAAACGTTCTCGTATTAGCTTCAAAGTCCGGCAACTTGATCTCAGATCTTGTAAGAACATGGTTCCGAGAAGTGTTTCTCCCAACATCTACCGAAAAAATGGTATTGTTGCTTGATTCCTGGAACGGTTAGAATTCTGAAACATTTGGAGCAGTCGCACAAGCAAACAAAATTCACAAAATTTTGACTATCCCCGCAGGTATGACCGGCAAGATTCAACCACTTGATGTGCTTTTTTCAGGCCATGGAAAAATTGCATCCGACATTCCTCTGACATCATTTTCCACAATCACGATATCAATTTACATCTGCGAAACAATATTATCCAGCTCCAATTTCTTATCCATAATCAGTTTTCTTCCCCTAGATTTCTAAATCTCATAAAGTATTCATAGTACAAAAGTGGTTATCTTCAGAAAAGACCACCTGAATTCGAAAATCCTGTAGATTACTGCTTCAAAAGCTGTGCACCAGAGTGTGACTTTTGCAATGACATAACTGTGATGAGATGTGCCTGGTGTACAAAATCTTCATGCATGACACATTTCTTCCAGAATTATCACTATTGCAAAAATTATTGTAATTGAGCGACATTAACCCATTATTTATAGATTTGTTTTTTCCACCTTCCGTTTAAGACTGAGTCTTTGTTAATTTTTGAACGTGTCCCCAGCTTTAAAAAGATTGGGATTAAAGATTGAGATTAAAGTGAAGATTGCTTCTGCAAGTGTTAAGTTACACGATCCAACTGTGGTTGGCGTCTAATGTTAAAAAATTTCTCAAAAAAAAAATTTAATTTTTTAACAAATAAGAATAAATTCAGAATTTGTTTGTACCTTAAAATCCGTAGTCTGTAAACGAAGGATAAATACTTTTTAAGAAATTTCTCTAAGAAAGTGTAATTTCGATACAGTGAAACACCATATTGCATCTATTACATTAAATTCAAAATTTTTGACAAAAACATTAAATTCAGCGACCTCGAAAACCTAAAAAAATCGTAATTTCCGTCAACATCATTTTATTTTACATAGAAAAAATGGTCCCACTCATAAGACATAGGCGACATATTTGATCCGCCATCTTGTATTTTTGAATTTTCACGTCAGATTCGAATTTAGCGACCCCAAAAATCCCATGAAACCTTTCAGCCTTCCGAATAAACAACTATTATAGATAGCACTTCTAACGCGAAAACACTCTATATAAATAAGAGGTAGTTTCCACCCTCAAAACTGCTTCTCCGCAGATAAAAAAATACGTGTCGATTATTTCCCATAGCTCTATAAGTGGGCAAAGTTTCATCAAAATCGGTGAGTGACAGTTGAGTACCTTTACTTGTCAGTATCAATAACAAAAATGGGCGTGTTGCGGGTTGAATCTGATCGTTAACCCGTTGAACGCCGGGATCACCCAGATCTTGGGCGCGAGAGCGAGTACGACTGGAGCCGACGGGAGTCAGCCAAAAGGAGAGGACCGGTCGGTTCTTTGGACAATAACGTGTTCGAGTCTCCGATTCCGAAGCGTTTATTAGCGTTGACCCAGTACAGCGGCTTGTAGATCGCGAACAATGAAGTAGCGTTTTGAAGCACGAGACGGCGAAAATAATCACTCGCCGGAGCGACGCGTTGTTAAGATTCGACGGTAGCCGAACGGAACTTGAGAATTGAGTTCGACAGCCGGATTCTGCCGAAAATCTATTGTCATGATATCGATCGTGATATTTATAATTTTATATCGCTGATGCGGCTCAAGCCGATTGGCAGATTTGTACACATCGTTGTTTGGCTGACACAAAGATCTTGACGGTAAATACAGTGTTTTTCCGTTAGTCACGAGACATTAGACTGTCGCAAGTTTCTTCTGATGGAAAGAGTGTTATTGTCACCGACACAATGAGACAGTGTAACGCGCCCAGACAATACCAGGCGGCAAGACAAAGATCGAGCAAATAATTCACTTGTAAACATGGGTGAGTTGCCCGAGCGGTGACTCGATATTACCGGCGTCCAGCACACGCTCCGCGAGAATCCGCTGGACGATTTTAATGAGCATGCAGAACCGCCGATATGATTTTCCAATTCGGAACAGGGCGGTACGCATATACAATCTTATTTTTATTGTCAAGGTTTAAGAAAGTGATTTCTTGTATCAAATATGGATAATTATATAGTAATATATATTATTATCATGTAATACAATGTGTGTATACAAATATGCAATATATGTGTAAATAAAAAATATGAAAATGTAATAATAATAAAAATATAAAATGTAAGAACAATAAAAACATGAATATGTGAGAATAACGTGATAATAAAATACAATAAAAATGCAATTACAAAAAACAAACATCACAGTTTTAAACACAGACATCTCAATTCATTGCCCAATTTGCAACAGCCTTCAGTTTGGCCGCTTTGTTTATTTGAAATCTATCACATTTCGTAAACTCTCTCGTCTAGAAATTATATGTCTTCCTTTTTCTCATTCAAACTATAAATTATTTTTCGTATTTTAAAAATTGTTTGCCTTTGAGCTGATTTTATTACATATATATCATTCATGTTTATTTTCAATAAGTCAGCATTAACTTCTGCAAATTCTGTAATCTGAAATAGGTCAATTTGATGAGTTCATAACAGAGTTTAAATATTCATTTTCATCTATTTTTAACTTTAGCAAAAATAAATTATCATATGTATTACGTTTGAAAATGAAATGTAAATTAATTAAAAATATTAAACGCAAAACAAATAGAAGATACATACTATATTGAAATGTTCATCTAAATATAAATTCATTATCATATCACTCAACAATATTGTGTTAAAAAATGGGTCTATCCACCTTAAAAGTAAAAATAATTAAATTAATCATCAATAGAAGTGTTATCGCGCTCTCTCGCGATTACTCGCTGCAAGTTTTTATAAGAGAAACAATCACCATGTCATTAAAGCCAAATAACTTTTTGTAATAAATTCCAAAACATCATTCTTCCTTATGTGTTTCTTTATAATAATACGATAAAGTTCATTTATATCGTTGTACAATAATCTATTTGCAAATTCGAGAAACAACATTTCATTAATATACTTCACGATAATTTGTGCATCATCTGAGCAAAACAAATATTTCAAAATATCTATATCTGTGATATTTTTGTATTTTTTAAACAGCATTTGCGATACAGATTCATTGGCTAACATCATGCCGGCACAATATACCCAATCCTTCCACCATGGTGAAAACCTACGGTGTGCGAAAAGTATCAATCATTAGCGAAGTTTAAGTTAGTATCAGGTGACCGATCAAACATATGGCGGAACAAGTAATAAAGAGATATGTTTAAAAAGAGATATGTTTAAAATTTGTATAGAATATAAAGATTTACTTGTTTTTATCAGGATCGAATAAATAGCCAGACAATTTTGTCGTAGCAGTTATTTGACACTTTCTAAGCCCTAATTTACAACCCCATCTTGTTGCTAATAATCTCAATGTCTTACACATATTGTCCTCATTCTTGTCCTTTTCTTCGTATCCCAAATTTTGAAGTAAGCCGTCCAATATTAGACGTACGTTTTCCTAAATCACGTCAAGGAATATTGACATCACATAAATATTGAATTGAGGACGTTATAATTTAATTTTAATACTTTGCGTTGTTTATCAGGAAGTAATATTTACATGTATGTATAACTACAAATGCATGATATATATATATATATATATATATCATCACATATACATATTTTTATGGTCAGAGACAGTTTTTACATTCTACATTTTCGTCGAAATAATTTATTTTTGATAGTATAAAGTTTTTTTTTATAATCGGTTTAGAGACTACGTATCTCTTGATTAATTTATTTGATGAAATACGCTCTACCGTCCTTACCTTGATATGTTCCGCTTCCGGATAATTCCAAATAGGCCACATGAACGATAGAATATTAAACATTGGATACCAGGCTATGTAATTTACATCGCGCTCTAGGTAGCTTGCAATTTTCCAAAATGTAGACGGTGATACGTAGCCTTGTGTCATAAAATAATACGCATCATCAATCAATTGCGCGCGATTGAGGACATGTATTCTATGATATGCATCAGAGTGCAAGAATTTTGCGATTCGAAACCAACTTTCTTTATCGTAATTTACGCGAAAGTATCCTGTTGCAAAAAGTTAAATAATTATTATATTGAGTCTTTACTAATTTACATTTATATTCTCGAAAAATGTTACATAATATAAAATAAAACAAATGTGTTATGTAAAAGTTGTTTTGCGTTCTAAAGTCACGAACTTATCTGGTACATGTACACACTCACCATTTTGTTCTATATTAAGTATAATAAAATCAATATTCTCCGCCACTTTAGTAACTGCAATTTCGGAACTAGTTATCTTAATATCGCATCCAAATATCTCGTAAAACGATGAATTATATGAATTGTAAGTTATTGGTATCATCCATGTGGATTTTCTCATGTCAACGTTATCAGTAATATTTAATTGCACTGTGTTATCTTTACGATCGTGAATGACTTGTATAATAGGATAGTATTTTTGACTTAACCACGTATCCATAATTTCGATAATTTTAATCTTTTGATTAGCTCTGTCATCAAGCACACGTTGTAAGGCAATCCAGAAATTGTAAGGAGTGGCTGTATAAAACTTACTATAAAGAGAGAAATTCAATATTGCGTACTAGTATACGATTGCGCGCGCGTGAGTTTGCTTCATGTCGTTAATAATGTTTGGATTTTACAATACAGACATGAAATATATTTTTCTTAACCGTGTGTTTAGTTGAGCCTTTTAACATAAATGTACAAATATACCGAAATTCTGTGTAATAAATAATATGCCTCTTTCAAGCGATTAATTAATGAATACGTAAAGATATAAAGGACCCAGAAAATTTGGCTTCGGTCAAATTAACTGAAATTCTGAAAATGTTGTAGTTTAAGTGCTGATCAAAAGTTCTCTTTGGCAAAACCTCCGAAAATCAAAATTATAAAAGATACGATGGCTTAAAGTGAGTGTTATTGAAATTTAAGAAATGCCTGTTTTTGAATATACAGATTAAGTTAATATATAAAAAAACTAATATATTTTATGTGTGTGTGTGTGTGTGCGCGTGCATATACACATAAACACAATTATGAAAATACATTTTCATAATTTCAGCTAATTTGACCAAAGCCACTTTTTTTATATAAAATGTGCGGGATGGAATAGTGTCTGTTCTGTTGTGTATATAGTTATTTTTAGAAGGAACACCTAACATCGAAGTATAATGTATATGATGATGTTACGATGTGTGTTACTTACAATTTGTCCAAATATTTTTTAACAGCTAGTTGGAATTTATCCCGTGTGATCATATGCTCTATCATACGTAAAAGAGTAAAACCTATAAGCAAAACAGTATAATGAAGCGTAATAAGTTTATTTGATTTAAATAGAGTAAGGATCAGGTTTCATAATTTATATGTTCTCTCCCAAGGATAAATGAATATTTTATTTTAAATCTCCAGTTAAACACTAACCTTTATTATAATACCAACGAGAACAGAGGACAACATCAATCTCATCCGCTGCTCGTTCATAGTATTCGGAAAGAGCTCTCATCCGACAGTTGGTTTCATAGTGAAAAGTTGACTGAAGAATTTGGATTGTATAGAGATCCATTAATTGTGAACCGTTGAAAATCTAGAATAAATTATTTTGATACAACTAAAATGTAGGCTGGTGTACGAATTAACATTAAGCAAATGTATTCCATAATCCAGCAAACATAAATATGTATTGACTATATTACTGTAATATAACGAAATATATAACACGTTATACAGGGTGTTCCGTAAGTCGGGGTCAATCGCTCGAGAGATGAATGGGAAACCACAAACAAGAAAGAAAGTTGATACAAACATAGGTCCAAAAATGCGTTGTTTTCGAGTTATCGCCATTTTTATGTTAAAATTTGAAATTGCTTTGCTTTCGAATTTTTTGGTTTTGGAATTTCGATGGTTTTTATGAGTTTTAAAACACAACTAAAGTCAAATAAAAGTTGGGAGCTGCTTTAGCACTACCTAGGATGCACCGCGTGGAAGTACAGCCCGCTTAGCATCCCGTGGAGGACCTGTACGCTGGCCTCCTAGGTCACCCGGTCTCAATCTGTGTGATTTCTATCTTTGGGGTCATTTAAAATCCTTTGTTTATAAACGGCCAGTTAATAACGTCCATGAACTCAAGCAAAGAATAACTAATGAATTTGAAAACATTAGAGAAAATCCGGAAGTGCTACAAAGAGTTCGGAACTCCTTAGAAAGAAGGCTTAGAGCCTGCATTCATGCAGAAGGAGGTCATTTCGAACACCTCATATAATTTTTACGTTCACTCACACACACACACACACACACACACACACACACACACACACACACACACACACACACACACACACACACACACACACACACACACACACACACACACACACACACACACACACCACACACACACACACACACACACACACACACACACACACACACACACACACACACACACACACACACACACACACACACACACACACACACACACACACACACACACACACACACACACACACACACACACACACACACACATACACATACACACACATACACACGACAGAGAGGGTTTGGAGTCACTAAATGCCACAGGAGTGACGAACTGTGAGGTCCTGATCTCTGCCAAGGGATGCTAAGCGGGCTGTATCCCCACGCGGTGCATCCTGGGTAGTGCTAAAGCAGCCCGCAACTTTTATTTGACTTTAGTTGTGTTTTGAAACTCATAAAAACCATCGAAATTCCAAAATCAAAAAAATTCGAAAGCAAAGCAATTTCAAATTTTAACATAAAAATGGCGATAACTCGAAAACAACGCATTTTTGGACCTATGTTTGTATCAACTTTCTTTCTTGTTTGGTGGTTCCCCATTCATCTCGAGCGATTGACCTCGACTTACGGAACACCCTGTATAACATAACCAGTTGCAAGCAAGTTACAAAAGTATAAGTTAAAAGTATATTAGTAAATATGTAAATTACAATACATGTTAGATGTAATATTCCACTCATACAAAATTACAGTTGCAGTTATGTAACATAAATATAACATGTTATGAAAATGTCACAGGACTGTTACGTGTTACTGTGTAACGAGACCTTAATTTATATTATACAATAGTTATTACCCAGTAAGCACAATATAACATAGTAACAAAGTTATATAACAAAGTAACAGTTACGTAACATACCATATGATTTAGCTGACATTGTAACACCGATCGAACTTTGTGTTTACTGGGTACATTTCAGGCAAATGTTATGTGACTAGGATATAAATTATACAGTTCCCAATAATTACTTTTGTACATAGTGTCTGACGATAACCCTTCCCAGTCAGAATCACAACGTACTCAAGGTTGATTCAACGTCAATAAGAGTTAAATTAACATTTATTCAACGGTTCATCGACTATTTTAACGTCAAATCAATGTCGAAACAACATTATAGTTCTGACTAGGTTATATGCATCAAGCACACAAAATCCAATAATTTGTCATATTATTAGTTACTTTTACATTACATAGAAGTATTTTATATTTAATGAGGTTTGTACACGACTCTGAAAAGAGATTAAAACAATTTAAATATGTTTACGACACCAATCATTTGCCTTTAAATTCAAAAGTATCACGTTCTCTAGTAATGCTGACAGATAAATATCAACCTTGTCTATGATATAATAACCGTAAAGTTTCGATAGTGATTCGCCTAACCACAGGTCCTCCCACCAAGCCTGAGTAATCACTGCTATAAACGGCTGACGTGTCATTTGTTGCGAAATTACTTCGCCGATGTGAACCTTGCGGCCAGGAAAATTAAAATTTTCATCATATAGAATATCCTTTTCACTATAAATTATGAATCAATATGATCAGTATGATGTAGATATTAAAGTGCACACACATAATTTAACTCTTTTATAAACCACACAAACGTATAAAATTAATTTAAAAGTTCCATCAACGAAACTCATTAAGCACAGAATAATAATATCATGACATCAATTTTATCGTTTTCTACCGCGTAATATATTATAACATTTATGTATTATATACAACATATCCCAGTCAGAACCACAAAGTTGATTCGATATCGATGAAGGTTGAATTAACGTTGAATCAACGGTTCATCGATTCTTTCAATGTCAAATCAACATTATGGTTTTGACTGGTATGATGAAACGCAGTTACATTGTTGAGCGGGAAAATAAAATATTGATGTGATGTTAGTATTACTCGCGCGATACTTAATAGATGCACAGACTGAGAAAAAATTTGTGTGTATTGTGACCAACAATCTAGGTTAATCAAAGTAGATTTATATCTATGCTATGATATCGTCGGTGCCATTATGGTATCTCTGGATTGATAGTGTTTAGGCTTTTTTAAAACTTCCCAACAAACGAAATATTGCATATAACATACCTGTTAGTAATTGTAATTTCCTGTTCGACAATATAACCGTTATATAAGACGTGCGTTATATAACAGTTATATTGTTATTACAATTAACAGGTACGTTACTTGTTACATTGCATTTGCTGGGTTATATCAGCACTCGAATTGTGTGTATTATGTACCTGTATATCATAAGACCAAAACATCCCATTGAGTTTATTGTATTATTTGGAAAGAATATGTGATCCCTTTTCGATAATACATCGGTTAAATTCGTAATGGACGTCAAATATGAATTGACATCTGGGATTGTTCTCATTGCATCTTGTAGCATCTCCTTTTGCGACATGTGCCAAATAAAGTCAGTCTCAGATATTTTACTCATTGTAAGTCTGACGTTGTCTTCAAGCAGAGCAATAAATACGTTGGAAGGAGACATCAAAGGCGTATCATTAAAATATGTCCAGCATGAATTCGAATCGCAGTTTCCTGTGGATATTGTGGGCATATTTGAAAAGGTTCTAAATTTCTTGAGATGTTTTACAGATATGTTGAAAATTGCCCTTAATCCAAGCTCGTCCCAACATGGAAACACTCTCCGAGCCATGTTACTTTGAGTGATGATTAACCTATAGGATAATAGGACATATTATTATAAACATAAAATTTTTAACTATTCTATAATGTAGGAATACCGTGCGAAGAATTTTATACATATGTGGGCATGATGCATGGAAGAAATCGAATAAATTAGTGTGTGTCGCGATGATAGTGGGTGCGAGTGAATGAAGTTGGCACCACATTTTTCGAAAATCATATTTTTGGAAGTTGTTCTAAATTGTTCTAATCTTGTTCCACATTGCTCCAAAACTATATTATTTTATTTCAACCGATTCAGCAGTAAAACGAAAAAAACATATAGTCCTATACCGTTTTGCGATATACGCAATAATTATTGAGTTATTAATTATAGAAATCTGACGAGTGAGCGCGCAGTAGGTTCGCATAAAATTGTACGAAAATTTATTTATACATATGTCAATACGGAAAAAGAGATTGGTATACAAATGTAAATTATGTAAATGCTTGTTTTTGCAGATATGATTATTTATAATTGGCTCACATACCGATGTAGAGATTATCGATAAATATTCTGTCGATAAATATTTATCAAAATAGTATCGAATTAATCGTTTTTACCTTTGATTTCTTCTTATGATAACTGCATAAATCAGCATAACCAGCATAACATTTGAATCAATAGAAAGGAATGTTTATGTACAATGGTTAACAGTATATTTAATGATTCCCGCAAATTTTTACCTTGTCTCAAGATTTGTTCCACCTTTCTTGTACTCGTATTTAACTATGCCTCTCCGAGAAGAATAAGCAGTGTTGGAGTAGATTGTTAAGTTATAAACTCCGGCAGCTATAATTTTATCAAACCGTAAATCCAAAATCTGCGATTGTTTGCAATAACGGTATCCAGTGAATGCGTAGTTTTTAACTGAGCTATTCGCAGCCGTTAGACTTATCTGACTTTCAATATTCAATCCAGAAGCGTACAAACTTATGTCTTTAGTTGGATTTTCAGTAATGATCGTAATAGTAGTTTTACCGTAAGCTCTATTAAAATTCGGATATATTTTGAACTGTATGGTATATCTAATTGGACGTGAATTATAAATTAATAAATCATTATAAGAGGAAATATCCGAGCAATCTTGCATGTCCATGTTTAAAGATTGATCATTATCGGTATCAAACGTTCCGGGCAGCAGAACAGCGGCGCAGAACGAAATATAGATTAATAATAATATTAGAGATTCCATGTAAATATTTCTCAAAGATATATTTGCACCTATATGAAGAATTTATTTGTTAGCAGAACCAAATATTAGTTAATGATAAGTTTTAATATGAGATCATTGTTACATAATATTGTTATTTAATGTTGATATTAATGTAAGAAGAATAATACAACGGATATAAGAAATTCAATGTCTCTTACCTAAGCGGATATATATTCTGTATTTGATGTTTCCACTCTTAATGCTCGTTGTCTATTACCGTGCGCAGCATAAATACAGCTTCTGATATAAAGGTTCATTTGCAAACAGAAGAAATATAAGCAGAAGAAATATAAACACAAATCAAGCAATAATAAATTGCGTGTTGAACTCTTTGGCGCTAGATTGATTACATACGAGAAAAATATTATTTTGCAAAGTAATAACATATTTATAAGTTGTTAATGGTGTATCGAATAATCGATATGGAAAGTATCATGTTTCATGTATTACTTCGCAAATTTCATTGAATGTAACAAATTTATAAATTATGATGAAATATATTGCGAAGATTGACAAGAAGAATTATTTTTAACCCTTACAAAGTAGAACAAACGTTTTACTTATTTATTATAAATATGTAAATATGTATAAGTTAAGGGGATCCTGGAGTCGTCTGTTTTATCGACACATTGATTCAAACTTCTCAAACACTATTCTTTTTATTAGCTGGACAGATTGGAAAATCCTTTTGTACAACGAAAGTACTTATAATAACGAAGTCCGGAAGACAAAGTTTTATGTAAAATTCAATGAAAAATTACAAAATTACAGTTTCGTTATCATGTTTTGTGTTAGCTCGTAGCTTTACTTATTAATTATAAAAGTTCTGCAGTTTATCCATGCAAAAGCTTTTGCTTCCGGACTAGCCATAATATGAAAGAATAATACCGAACTAACAGAAATGAGCTTAGAAGTCAGTGTAAAAAGAATAGTGTTTGAAAAAAATGTAATGCATACGGAATTGTGTTTGCTACATTTTTGGATAAAAAAGAACAGTAGATTAGTTCCACATAATCATGATCGATGGTGTTGCAGGCAGACACAATCGTACTATCCTTGTCTGTTTCATGCGTGGAGTAATGTTATGACAAGGAAAGTATAATTGTTAAATTTTTCATTGAATTTTACATAAAACTTTGTCTTCCGGTCTTCGTTATTATAAGTATTTTCATTGTGCGAAAGGATTTTTCAATCTGTACAGCTAATGAAAATATTAGTGTTTGAAACTCGTATCTTTGTTCGCTCGATCGCACGCTTCCCAATCAGCACAAAAATATTAAAAAAGTTTTTAAAAATATTTTTTAGATATTTGAAAAACCTTTAAAAAACATTTTTTAAACGTTAAAATAATGAAATAAGTTCCCTTTTTTAATTGAAAAAAACGTTTTTTTTAGCGTTTATAAAAATATTATTTTAACGTTTAATAAATGTTTGTTGTAACATCTAAATAAATGTTTCCATTGAACGTTTTTAATTTTTAAAAATTTATTATGTTTGACAAATATTTTTTATACAATATTTTATACATATTGTACATTTGTACAAAAATTACATAAAATAAAATAAGCAATTGCAGTTCAAAATAAACCAAAGCTGAGAACCCAACATTCATATAGGAGTTATAGTAATACATACAGTATTTCATATGCAGGGTGATTGAAACAACCCTGGGTCCTTAATTGAAAACACGTGACTAGATTCTGAGACGATTATTCCTTTTATAAAACTTCATCCGAAATCTGGTTTTTGAATTACAAAAGGAAATAGTTTCCTTATCACGGGTTGAATACAGGAGGTATACAATGGCGGCGAAATTTACCACGTCAGACGCGGTCGCTTATATGTTAGGCGGCTGAGTTGTTAGGTCCGACGGTGAGTTCCGCTGCCACTGCTTATCTTCTGTATTCAACCCGTGATAAGATAACTATTTCCTTTTATAATTCAAAAACTATATTTCGGATAGTTTTGTAAAAGGAAAAATCGTCTCAGAATCTAGTCAGGATTATGTCTTTTCAAGGACCCAAGGTTGATTCAATCACCCTGTATATTATTACTTAATAGTTGAAATGTAATAATGATATATTAACACTGAGAAAAAAATTACTAAATTTAAGCTGTTAGTTTGAATACAACCGTGAAATAATTTGTTTAAATTAAGCAAATATTTTCTAAAAGTACAAAAAGTTTAATTTTAGAAAATAATTGTTAAACTTAAACAAGCAATTGTTTAATTTAAACAAATTATTTCACAGTTGTATTCAAAGTAACATTAGTTTAAATTTAGTAAATTTTTTTCTCAGCGCAGATTATCGCAATTATATATTAGTCTTTGGAACATGTGGAAAATAAGGATATCATAAAATAAATCTTAAGTAACAAAGTAAATGTTCTACTGATTAAATCTCATGTTCCAATGTTAGAATCGTTAAGTTAAAATGATGTCAAATTGACAAAAAATAAAAAAAATTTAATAAATGTGAGCCCTTGTCGACAATCTTGATTTAATCCCGTAAGCCATAAGAAATTGACTATAATCGCAGTCGACTATTAGGCTGGAGTCCTATATATGGCATATATTTTCCGCATAAGGAGTATCGCGTAATCAATCATATCGTTCATTCTTTTACAAGGTTCCATCTGAGTATTCAATCGTCGCAATTCATTGGTTACGTGTTACACGCGGAAAATACCTTCCACAGAGTATCTGAACTCCACCCTTACAAGCGACTGTGGTTGGTCAATTTATTACGGTTACAACTTAAAACAAGGTTATAGACAAGGGCTTGCAATCGAACGTCAAATAGACATCATTTTAACTTTCTGTTCTCTTTGGAATACAAATGAGTATTTTTTTATTGCAGTCTTCTATCGCCGTCCTCACTGCTTTCGTCGTATGTAGACTCGCCTTCATCTTCATTAAATGATGAATTTTGTGGTTCGTCATTTGCAGCTTCTTCCTTTTTGCTGTTTTGTCTGTAAATATCATAAATATTTCAATATTAATAAAAATTCATAAGCTATAAATGTCATAATCTAATGACTTCTTATCTAATAAATCTTTGATTTAGGTGCGTACTTCAGCCAAATTAGTTACAAAAAGTTAATATAACACAAATGTATAGAATATTTACTTTTTTATACGAAAGATAGCCTGGGCCAACCATGGTCCTGCTTTCCTACCAAATATTGTTACATTAATAGTAGGAAATTCTTTAGCTACCGCTTCTATAAGAAATGAGCACATAATGAAACTTATGAATAAATACAAAAAGAAGTACAGTTTACACAAGGTACAATGTAATACAGAAAAAAAGATACAAAATAATATAATCTTACCGATCATAATATAACACGATGAACTGTTCTATGCCAGATTAATACATACTAAAAGTTATATATTTTTTTTAATGTAAGGGCACATACATACTTTAAACTATTATATAAATATTCAATAACTTTGTCGCATTATTTAGCAAAATATGCATTGGTAATTATATCGTTGAACCAGTTATATGTTATACCATTGCAGTTAGATATGGTTTCACATGTAGCAACCTTCAATTTGTATTTATATTATGTAATATGATGACCTAATTTGCTATAAATATAGATTTATATAGATACACCAGTTCCTGCCAAGAGAGATAACATCGCAACATTTGCAGTACATACATATGCCCACATTCATAGTCAAGTTTTAATATTTCAGGCTTCCAATATTTAAGTTCATCTTCAGATGTTCTGTACTCAATACACCCTACATGTCCATTTAAGGGTTAAATATGCTATGTTGCCACGCTTTATCTTACAGCAAATGTCATCGGTCTATCTATATAATTACATCCTGCTGCAAATGCTCTATAGATACATAGGAGATATATATCAATTCGTTAGAAGAAGAGAGGATGTATAGGTTACCTATAGATAATTATCTATCTCTTATTGTGTAGATTAAATGTGTAGATTATCTGTATACGTTATCTTAATTGGTTGCCTATAAATCATCTCTCAATATTTGATACACAAATCTACGTATCTATCAATTTTTTATACAAGGATTTTCTACAGATAATCTTTAAATAAATGTGTAGGTTACGCATGTATAACGTACAATTTATCTATAGGTTATCTGTAAATCCTTATATAAAATTGATAGAGATACGTAGACGTGTGTGTCAAATACCTATCTTCTTATAGCGAATTGATATATATTTCCTACGTACCTGTAGAACATTTGCAGCAGGATATGTAATTATATCGATGTATAGGTAAATGCATACGTTACCTGCAGGCTAATAAATCCTCTCTTCCTGTAAATTACATATATATCTTAAGTATTTATAGAACATTTAAGGTAGGATATTTGTACATATTGCAATGTAAGATAAATTAATATTACTTACTTTTCGTTTCGAAATATGTATCTTCGTACCATACCAAATATACGCTAGACAAAGGCTAAATAGTAATGGCAGCGAGTCGTTTCGCGCGCATGCACATTCAACGGTACGTTCGGTTAGGTCAGGTTAGGTCGTTCATATAAAGCCGACTCCACATGATGTCGCAAACTTTAGGGTGTGTCCTGATGGAGTAAGAAATAGCGGAACGGCTATTTTATGGAGGCCCTTTATTTTATAAAGACCCTTCTATGTAGTCCGTTAAGCCCTAAACACAATGTCAGGCAACAGGCAATAAGAATAAAAATAGACCAATCATAATAGATTATTCTTGTAATAGTCAATTGTGATTGGTCTATTTTTATTCTTATTGCCTGTTGCCTGGCATTGTGTTTAGGGCTTTACCGTTAACTTACACAATACGAAAGTACAGACAATAGGAATAGAAACTGACCAATCACAGTCGACTATTACAAGAATTGTGGACTGTGACAGGTCAATTCTTATTCCTATTGCCTGTACTATCGTATTATGTCCCAGGCTTTACGTGATCGCCACCCAGGTGTACAGGAATAGGAATAGGAATGGACCAATCACAGTCGAATACCGCATGTCATGTCCTGTATATGCAGGAGCTGAACTTTCAGCTCAAGCATTCACGAGAAATTTGTATATAAAATTTCTCACAAATATTCATTGCACAAATAATAATCATTTTAGAATTGTTTGCATTTATGACGCGTAAATAATGACGTACAATGATACTTTCATTTTTATCAGCCATTATTTTAAATAAATTGATTTAATCATTTATTTGTTTTAATAAAATAATTAATTAATGTAAAATAAATATTAAATTAATTTTGAAAAAATATTTTTTTAAATAGTTATTGCAAACGATTAATTAATGTAAAATAAATGTTTAATAAACATTGAATAAATATTATTTGTACAATGAAATGTAATATTGTAAAAATAATGAAAAATAAATATTTAAAAAACGTTTAAAAAATATTGTGTGCTGATTGGGTTATTAGGTTGCATTCACAATCAGTCGGAAGACGTTATATTCCACACGTATATCGTACACACCAATCACAACCTCACATGTAATGTCTTAAATTAAATTAGCTATATATATACATATAAATATATATATATATAATTTATATGTATGTATATATATATATATATATATACATACATACATACATATACATACATATATGCGAGGTGAAGCGATTGTCAAGATGTTCAGTGAGTGGCGACATGTTCGCGCTGTCTCCTTTTAGTATTTTTTCATATATATATTGGGTGAGTGCAAAAGTTCGTGCGGAGTTTGTGAGTAAAAGTCACACAGTGATTAGGCAAACAAAAATCTTTATTCAATCAATGATATATTCTCCATCGTTTTCTATAATCTTTTCCCAACGTTCTGGCAGCATACGGATGCCTCGATCATAAAAACTGCGCGGTTTAGATTCGAAGAACGAAGAGACGCCGTTTTTTAAGGCCTCCAAAGAGTCAAAGTTTTTTCCATTTAAATAATTTTGCAATGACCGGAACAAGTGATAGTCAGATGGTGCGATATCAGGAGAATACGGTGGATGCGTTAAGACATCCCATTTCAGGCTCTTCAGTTTGCGCAGCGTCTTTTTCGAAACGTGTGGTCTGGCGTTGTCGTGATGAAAGACGACTCCCTTGCGATTTGACAAAATCGGACGTTTCTCTTTTATTTCTCGATTCAGATTGGTTAATTGGCGACAGTACTTGCCCGAATCAATCGTTTCGCCAGCGGGGAGAAGCTCGAAATAGATTATGCCCTTGCAATCCCACCAAACAGAGAGCATCACCTTCATCGGGTGCAAACTGGCCTTTGGCATTGCGTCACCATGCTCACCTGATTGTTTCCATGTCCGTTTGCGCTGAACATTGTTGTAGAGGACCCATTTCTCATCGCCCGTCACTAGTCGATCCAAAAACGACTCGTTATTGAGCCGCCCGAGTAAAGAAACGGCTGCAGAAATTCGCTTGATTTTGTTCTTCTCGGTCAGCAAATGGGACACCCATATATCGAGCTTCAAATCGAATCCCATCTTTTTTAAACGCCGAAAAGCGGTTGATCGGTCAACGTTTAGTGCTGTAGCAACTTCTTCTGTTGAAATTCGCGGATTATTGAGCACTAAAGTACGCAAAAGATCGTTATCAATGTCAGAAGGTCGACCAGAGCGTGGCTCGTCTTCAAGGTTAAATTCTCCGCGCCGAAATTTAGCAAACCATTTTTCCACAGTTCGTTTAGCTGGTGCTTCATCCTGATAAACATCCTGAATGTTTTTTACGGCTGCGGCAACGTTTATTCCTTTCCGAAACTCGTAAAGCATAACATACCGTAAATGTACCTTATCGATACTCATTTTTAAAGTGATATTTCTCGAAGCAGTTTGTATGAAAACAAATGATTTTTTTTTAATAACAGCTGAAGACGTCACCTTTCCAACGTTATATAATATGTAAATGCAAGTATTAATGACAACACTTTACGACGCTTATAACTCCATCTATTGAAACTCCGCACGAACTTTTGCACTCACCCAATATTTTCTCACAGACTTTAGACGAACATGTGTGTGCTGCGTTGTCAATTCTTCTTTTCTACACATAGATCTTATATGAATGTGTCTCCGATTCTTCCACTTGTTGGTATATACGGTATAACATAATACAGAATAATTTATGCAATGAATAATATTCCACAAAAATGATGCTTCGGTAGATTTAGAGGGATATATTATATAATGCTGAGCTGTGAAATTTTTATAAGGATTTATAAGTTTAAAATAATTTCAATAACAGTTTAAAAAAAAATAGTACGTTAGATTTTACATGATTCGGCTGCTTACATATCGTTTCACTTTATTTTCACTCTCTCTCACATTTTCTCCCTCTCCCCCCTCTCTAAATTTCAAACTGTATGCGCCTAATACATCGTATATTGGAGTCGGATATTATAATTATATTATACTACAGGGATTATTTTTATTATTTATAATATTTATTCTAAACTTTATATGAATCAGCTAAAATGGCGCGTGCGTAAATAAAAGGCAGAGAGGGACAGAGAGAGAGGGGGGAGGGAGAGGGAGGGAAGGGTAGAGGGGTGGGAGGGAAGGGTAGAGGGGTGGGAGGGAGAGGGGCGAGAAAGGGGGTGAGAGAGGGGCGGGAGAGGGAGGGAGTGAGAGAGAGAGAGAGTGAGGGAGAGAGTGTGAGAGAGAGAGGAAGGGAGGGAGAGAGGGGGAGTGAGAAGTGAGGGAGGGGAAGGGGTTGAGTTTTGGGGATAGCGGGTGAGAGTAGCAGAGGGAGGGGTATACAGAGAGGAGAGTATGAGGGAGAGAGTGAAGGAGGAGGGAGGGAGGGAGAGAGAGAGAGAGAGAGGAGAATGTGAGAGAGAGAGTGTGAGAAACAGGGGGAGGGAGGGAGAGGGAAGTGTGAGGGGGAGGGGGAGGAGGAGAGGGGAAGAGTGAGTGAGTGAAAAAGAAATGATAACATAGGGCCGATTCAAGTCAAAAAGTAGGGAACGTTATCATCTGTTATCGACGTTAGTGAATTTTGGTATACATGTATATATACAGAGTGTCTTAAAATTTGCGGAACCCCCCGGATAACTTTGCAGGATCAAGCTTTCATGAAAAACTTTAAACATAAAAGTTGTAGAAAATCAAGTAACGGACTTGATGGTGACCTTAAACTTGACATTGGCCATGACCTTCAAGGTCATTCGAAAGTTAACATGTGTTTTTTAAATGAGAACCCTTATTTTTTTGTTACACTGTTTTCTTTCTCTCTCCCTCCCTCCCTCCCTTGCTCTCTCTCCCTCTCACATACTCTCTCTCTCTCTCTCTCTCTCTCTCTCTCTCTCTCTCTCTCTCTCTCTCTCTCTCTCTCTCACTCACTCTCTCTTCCTCCCTCCCACGCCCTCTCTCTGTATTTTTTTTCTCTCTGTCTCTCTCTCTCTCTCTCTCTCTCTCTCTCTCACTCTTTCTCTCAAACACCCTTACTCTTATTCTCTCTTTCACACACCCTTTCTCACACTCTCACTCTTTCACACTCTCTCTCTCCATCACATTCTCTCTCTCTCTCTCTTTCTAGTGGTATAGGGGTAGGTATGGCCAGTCAAAACATTCCCCCTCTACTCGACCCTCCGACGCCACTAGACCACGCCCACCAGCGCCGGAGGGCCGAGTGGAAGGGGAATGTTTTAAGTGGCCATACCTATCCTTAAGGCTGAAAATGGCGGAAATTTCACCGGAATAAAAATTAGGGTAATCTAAATATTAAATTTTTATTATTTATATTAGGCGTTGTTGTGATCCTAGCTCTTGGTCAGCTGGTTAATTGGCATATTACTTTTGGAAAAATCTCCTAGGGATTCTGCGAGGCTTGAACCAGGGACCTCAGGCTCTTGAGTCAAAACGTCTCTCACCACTGCCCTACTGCTGCTCTTTGGTAAAGAAACTGGTTTCACGGCATACACGTAGAACGGAGAGAGGTGTGTGTATGTGTGTGTGTTGTGCGTGGTTAGTGTACCAAGTCTCTGTAAAAATCCTGTAAGACCCTTGGGCGGACTCGAACCTAGGTCCCCGCTGGCTTTCGAGTCAAGCGTCTTATGCACTACGCTACTGCTATACCCTGATGGAAACTAGCTATATTATATACATATGAAGGGTTGACGTCACGTGTGAAAAATTTAGCAAATTCTAGAACCTATGGGACTCGGGCCCCCACCATGAGACCCCGGCTCTCGACTCTCGTGAGCGTGTGCGAGCATATTCGAGCAGGTAGGGATCATTTCGAAGATAAAAACTAATCAAACGTAGGAAATATCTGTGCGAACTCACGAGTGATAATGATGAGAAGACATATAAAGTGTTTTATAAATTCGCGGCCATGTGCATTAGTGGCCTACTGGCGATGTTATTCGCTTGCAGGCAATTTAAAAATAATACTCGCTTGCATGGGATCGCAGCCGAGATTGTAGAAGCGAGAAGATTACTCGGAGAGAATGAAGAAGATATCGGTGACCGTGTTCAGGACATGCTCCTTTCCGCATTGTAAGTAATTTCCTTTCGCTGTGACGTGACATAAAAGAATAAGTCTAATAAATGCTGGTGTTCACGAATTCTTATGTTCTTCATTTTCTCTGTTCTCATCAATACTGTACAAAGCGGAAATCCAAAGAGCCGTTGGAATATAAAACTTCCTCGTCAGCGAAATCTGCCCGTAAGTATAAGGAAAAATAAATATAAGATTATTCTCTTGTAGAGCTTCGTGTTTAATATCGAATTAAGGGGTAAGGCCACTCCAGAATTTTCAAGAAATCGATTTTTTTTTGTCAATATGTTCCCTTGAAGCCTTAAGAATAAGAAAAAAAAATGTTTCATAGCCTGGAGAAATCTCAAAGAGGTCGTTTTCGAAGGTTTTGCCAAGGCACCCCGCTGCGTGCTCCAAGCGCTTTTGGATCGATACAGCGCGCTTGAATTTAGATCTTTGTAATCCTCTTACCTGTTGAGAATCACTTATTTTCGAGGTTCTAGAAAAGAATGGGAACTCGGCTAAGAAATTTGAAAAAAGAAGTAAAAGGTCTTGGCGGGAAAGGAAAATTGACAAGCAAGCTCATTGATAAGCTTTCAATGTACTATGGCTTGGCCATCCACAGGAATCAAAATTCAATAGAAAAGATGAGAAATGAAATTTGGGCAACGTTGTACCACAAGCTGTCGACAAATGAAAAGCCACAACACGACAAGTGTCAGTCCGGTGAAAATTCGTGGTGTTCGTGGCAAGAGGCAAAAGCCACCAATACTTTAAATACTTATTCACACAAGCAAGCTCTTCTACAAACGGTTTTTAACGCCATGAAGCTCATCTACGAAGAGTTGAGCAGTGATGACCTTCTTATACGGTGTTTAGGTGGCTTCACACAGAACAGCAATGAAAGCTTCAATGCTACGGTTTGGTCAATAGCCCCAAAATCAACATCAAGTGGGAAAACTGTCCTTGATTTTGCAGGAAATCTTGCTGTGTGTATCTTCAACGATGGAATAAGCAGTATCATGCAAATTATAGCGGTTTTAGGCATGACCATAGGGCTGAATTGTTATAACTTCTGCGTTGAGGCGGACGACCGCCGCATCGAGTTATTTGACCGATCGTTGACTGAAGCTGCAAAAACATCTCAGCTTGCTTTAAAATCAGACAGGAAGGATGAAGAAGAGAAAAATATCAATTTGGAAGGCCAATTATATGGTGCAGGCATTGCAGATTAAAGGTATAATAAAATTTTCTGCTATAGAATGTTATTCAAATCTTTGAACATGTTTTTTTAAGAACTGCATTTTTCTAATTGAGCGAAATGATAACTCCTACAAATCTTCATCGATTTTCTTGAATTTTTGAGGGTGACTTTTCATATACATTATCTAGTGGATAGCGTACGAATTTTGCAATAAGTTATAAACTTTCATTTTTATAAACAATTTTCGGTGAAATTTTTGGGTGAAGAATGAACTTTTCTTAAAAATGTGCACCATTTTTCAAGAAAATGGTATTTTCAAATTTCCGTACGTTATCCAGTAGCTTTTGGCATATATTACTTAAAAATTTTTGGTTTTTCATTCTAGGTTGAAATCTGCGGGATCGTTTCACTCGTTTAAGGCCTCGCATGAAAGGTGCCTTGCAATCTTGGGTTCTGAAGCCGCCATTTCAAAATAAAAACAAATAAGAAAAATTTTTTCTTACACTTCAATGTGTGTTTAATAAAGTACCTTAACTGAATTTTCCAATGCTTTTATTATACTCTTGAAAAAAATTCCCGAAATTAGCCTTTTTTTCTGGGACCTGGAGTGGCCTTACCCCTTAAATTTTAGCAAGTCATAATAAAATAGCGAGAACTGACAAAGATATCGCCTGCAATATAAATGAAAACGGCATTGATATTGGTCATGACGACGCTGTTCACGTCGCGAGTAACATCATCGAGTACGATGACAATGGAGTCGATGAAACGACGCAAGACGCAAGTTAAGCTGGTGAAACCTAGGACTTCCGAATCTCGCAGGCTACACTAGCCGAAGCTAAGAAAAGGTAAGAGAAAATATCTTATACTCTTAATTTTCTAATTGTGTGTAAAATTTATACCTGTATGACATTTTCAATTCATATTTACAGTACAACAGGGTAGTGGATACGAACAGTTGAAAGAACATCGAAGGGACAAAAGCGAAGACCAAAGAGTGTGCGAAGCGACAGCAAAAGCCGACACGGTCAACAATCGTGAGTCCTTATATAAATGTATTGAAATACTCGGGGAAAAGTCGCGTAATTATAGAAAATTTAATATTCTTTGGAGAGAGTCGAATATTCGAATTCTCCCACCTCCAGAAGGAGCCAATATTACTGAATATTTAGAAAATGCTTTTCGAGAAATCCACGACTACGCGGTAAATTCGGATGGCGCGAACAACTACATGGGATTGATGCTTGCTTCTTCAGACTTAACGCGGGGGCCTGCGGGTCTATCGCTTCGTCCCGCTCGGGACTTGACCTACAACGAGATTTGGAATCTCCTGAATTCGTTAGTGCAGAGTGCCGGAGGTCATGATATTTTAGAACATTTCAAAATTAATATTTTCAATGTCGCGGCACCTTCTGGTCGTGGAAAGAAATCCTATAAACTAACTCACGAAGATATAGAGAAACGCTCGATCATTACTATAAACAACTTTGACAATTTGTATTTTCCTTGTTCGCTCGTCGCTGCGATAGTGTACAACGAACGCGACAATGTGCGCACAGGAGAAATACATGATAAATGGAATTCCGTGAGGAAGCAATATTCTATATTACAACGAGACCTAGCGGTCGAACTGACACGGAAAGCCTGTATGAGTGTCTGTATACCTGAAGAAGGGTATGGTATTCCCGAGATCGAGCGTTTCCAGCATTATCTTGCCAGCAACGATATCGTGATCGTTGTTTATCACTTTAGTTCCTTCGCACGTAGTGCGCCCCCCATATACGATGGTAGCAGCGTACTCACCTCCCACGGGCGCGAAGCTAAAATGACTCTGAATATTATGTACTACGAAAAATCCCGGCATTACAATCCAATATTAAATTTAAGAGCTGCATCGGACAGCCAAGGTTATTGTGTACGTTGTAATAGCGGATATAAGCCGGAAAGAGGGCATCGGTGCTCAAACGCATGTCCACGGTGTCACGGCGTTCTAGCGTGCGAGGTATCAGGCATAGAACTAATACGATGTGCCGCATGTCAACGTGAATTTTACGGGTCGGTGTGTTTCGAGCGTCATCGTGCGCAAAAATCGCTCCAAGGCACTTCATCTTTGAGCATCTGTAATATCCTGAGAGTTTGCAGCGACTGTGGCTATTTGCGAAACTTGAGAAACAAGCACAATTGCAATGAAATCTTTTGTCGTGTTTGCAACGCGTTGCAACCAATGAATCATTCATGTTATATGAAACCACTTCAATGCAACACTGGTTCATCCGACACGATGAATCCGCAGCGAGTAGGAAACGAAAACGTAGTTGATGACATTGACGAAGTGACAGAAACAAGTAAGCGCGTAAAAGGTCGCATCGCGTTTATATTCTATGATTTTGAGATGCGTCAAGACGATACAATCGAAGGCACAGAAAACGTTAAAACTCTCGTTGTGACGCTCTGTGTTGAGCAGCAGATATGTGAAAGCTGCATGAATGTAGACGATATGGCGTTGTGATGTCGTTGGTGCGAGATACACGAATTTATATTTCAAGACAATCCGGTGAAACAATTCGTCGATTTTGTCACGAAACTGAGGAAGAGTTTCAAACAGATCATCTGCATCGCACACAACATAAGCGCATTCGATGCGCAATTTATTCTACGGTACATGGTCGAGAGCGGTAATCGGGTGGAACCTAAGCTTATTTTAAACAGTATTGTTAATCGTTATATTGTTAACCGTTGGGCAAACAAAATTTATCGACAGTGTTAATTATATGCCTATGCGCTTGTCAGCATTACCAAAAGCCTTCGAGTTAAAGGATACTGCAGGCAAAGGCCTGTTTCCACATTTATTTAACACTGTCGAAAATCGACATTCCATCGAACCGATACCAGATGCAAGATCAATATTACGATTTTCACATTATGGCAGAGGACTTTTTTGTTCCTCTCACTTAGCTCTATATCCCTACGGTCCGTGGCCCAAAGTTCTGAGACACCCTATATATGTATGTAAAACATTTTAATAACTAATATGGTTATGCGTTTCCCTTGCGATGAAAATGTATTTCGTTTAAAATAATATATTGCAATGGTTTAATTCTTATTATAGGCAATCAAATGTGATTTTTTTAAGGCAACCAAATGTGATTTTTATGTTAAGAAAATAATAAAAAAAGTATTGCAGATTGCTCTATGAGGAAGTTTCTTTGATGTACAAATATGAAAATGTTTTTAACTACTTCAATAAATATATTAATGTATCGATATATACAAAGGTACTTTTTTCCTAATTTTATGTTTACATATACATCGTATATCCTGTAGCAGTAATTATATATGAAACTAATATTTTTTCCGTGTAATATTATATTTACCAATATTTAAAAAATAATCACTTATGTATTGAGTTCAGAAGAATACAATATAATAAATAATAATCATTGTAATAAAAAGAATAGGTTTCATAATGAAATAAGTTTATAATAATAAGTATATAGAGTGTTGCACAATATCCGCAAGTCAATTTGTATACTGGTAGAACTCGTCAGTTCAAACAAAATAGTCTTATATTTTTTGCACACAATCATATTAAATTTTGAGATTTTAATTATTAGAAATAATATTTACAAGATTTTTTTAATAACTGACTCGACAATTTACATGTTGTTTGCAAAATAGTAAATGAATATTGAAAAGTTGAGAATAATTCAAGTATATTATGTCCTAATAGCAGATTCAAAGTTTAAGATTTAAAGTTTAATATCAATGTAGTTATTGGTAGGTACGAAAATCATATTCTTGAAAATTAAGATAAGATTATTTTGAAAAAATATCATTTATCATTTTTCAAACATGTAAATTGTCGAGTCAATAATTAAAAAATCCTATAAATATTGCCACTTTCAATAATTACAATCTCAAAATTTAATGTGGTTGTGTGTAAAAAGTCGAAGACCATTTTGTTCGGACTGATGAGTTCTACTAATATGCGAACTGACATGCGGATGCTATGCAACACTTTGTATACATTTTCCTTTAAGAAACATATTGTTTTAACAGTGATTAGTTATTGCATTGTATTTTCTTAAATTGAACAGACATGGTTATTTGTTAGAAATTAACAAATATAATATTACATAGAAAAAATATTTGTACTTGCTGTTAGATCTGCTCTTTTGTGTTGCAATAAAATTTTCTTTCTTCAAGCAAATAATTATTTAATTTCTATAGGAATGTATATATATTTAAACTTGCATTTACTTATAAATAAATAGCAATTACTTGTTTCAAAGGAATATTTTTTTTAATTATGCAAGTTATTTTATATTTAAGGGGCCAATGTTCTTTATGGAAATAAATGTAATTTCCCAAATAATGTTATATTACTTCTTCTTAAAACATATTTACTTAAAATCCTCATCATATTATTTAACGTTATGCCAATGCAAACTAGAACTAAGAAATGAATTTGTTATTTCAAAAGATAATTTTGTCTATTAAAGTAAATATTTTGGTGAATAGAGTCGTAATATTTGATGGGAAAATGAAGTGTGAATTTTATAAAAAAAAGCCTCCGCATTAATTTACACACCCAATATATATAATTTATTCTATGTTTGTCGCTGAGAATGGCGGAGGAAAAAAGAACAATTACCCTTCATCAATAAAATAATTAGATATTTAATAACGAACTGAGTTAGTATCAAAAGAATTATTATTATATTTACACCAAAGATGTTTTAAAAGAAAAGATAACATTCTATTTTTGGTACAATATCAGTAAATAAATATAAAATATAGATAAATCAGACAATATAAATAATGTAGATAAATATATAATATGTATAATATACAGAAACGGCACGAATTGCAGTATACTACATAAATACTGTTCACAATCGTGTGCGTATATTATATTATATTATATAATAATTATTATAAATATTTGAAATGTAATAATATATATACAATACATATACACATACATATACATGCATATATATATATATATATATATATATATGTGTGTTTATTTATATACATATATTTGTGTTTATCGCGTACATGTTTACGTAGTCATTTACAAATGAAACGTAACGGTTAAATTCTAGCCATATTACATAGTATATTACATAGATACTTATATAACTATATGTGCATTATTATACAGGGTGTCTCAGAACTTCAGGACATGGACTCCGTAGGGACATAGAGCTAAGTGAGGAACAAAAAAGTCCTGTACCATAATGTGAAAATCGTAATAGTTTTTTAGTAATAACAGCGCAAAGTTACACGTTTTCCACGCCCAACGTGGCCTATAGACGCTCCGCGGCAAGCTGTGTGCGTAGGGGCTGAACGATGACACGTCTCGCGCTGACTGTCGCGATGGCAACTTGACACTTTGACACCGCGCGACGGTCAGCGCGAGCCGCGTTACCGCTCAGCCCCCATGCATACAGCTTGCCGCGGAGCGGTCTATAGGCCGCGATGGGCGTGGAAAACGTCAAACTTTACGCGGTTATTACTAAAAATCTATTACGATTTTCACATTATGGTAGAGGACTTTTTGTTCCTCTCACTTAGCTCTATGTCGCTACGGAGCCCGTGTCCCAAAGTTCTGAGACATCCTGTATATTATTATCATATAATGTACAATGTATGTGTACAAATACATGTAAATAAAAGACATGAACAATAGAAACATGGAAATGTAAGAATAATGTGATAATAAAATATCATAAAAATACATCTATATAAAACAAACATCATAATTTTAGACACAGATATCTCAATCAACTGCCCAATTTGCAATAACGCTCAGTTTGGCCACTTTAATTATTTGAATTCCATCATATTTTGTAAACTCGTTCATTTAGAAATTATATGTCCTGCTTTTCTTATTCATGACGAGTAAATTATTTTTTGCATTGTTTGAATTCTTTTCCGTTGAACGCTTACTATTCGATATATGTCGTCCAGATTTATTTTGTGTGAATTGGCTTTATTTGCAAATTCTACAATCTGGAACAGGACATTTTGACAACTTCGTAAGAGTTCGTAAGAATTCATTTTTATCTATAATTTCTCAATTTCATATTTATCCATAATTTCTAACTTTAACGAAAAATAAATTATCATATATATTGGGTGTTTAAGAATGAAATTTGAATTAATTAAAAATATTAAACGTGAAGCAAAGTAAACAGAAAAAGTACATACCACATGGATATCTTCATTTAAATATACATTCATTATCATGTTACCTAACACTTTTGCGTTTTGAACAAAAGTGTCTTGCCACCTAGAAAGTAGAAATAATAAATTATTAACAGAAACGTTAACTTTTTCGCGATCAGTCATTGCAAGTACTTATAAGAGAAACGATCACCAGATTATTCTCGAATAATGCTGTATGAAGTATTTCAGCACATCATTTTTCCTTATGTGTTTCTTTATAACAATTCGATAAAGTTCATTTAAATTCTTATGCGATAGTACATTTCCAAGTTCGAGAAACACTTCCTCCATATACTTCACGATAATTTGTGCATCATCTGAGCAAAACAAATATTTCAAAATATCTATATCCGTGGTATTTTTGTATTTTTCAAACAACATCTGCGATATAGCTTCGTTGGCCAAACTCATACCGGCACAATATACCCAATCCTTCCACCATGGTGAAAATCTATGTTTGCGAAAAATATCAACCATTAGCGAAGTTCAAGTTTGTATCATGTGACCGATCAAACATATGGCGGAACAAGTAATAAAGAGATATGTTTAAAAAGAGATATGTTTAAAATTTGTATAGAATATAAAGATTTACTTGTTTTTATTAGGATCGAATAAATAGCCAGACAATTTTGTCGTAGCAGTTATTTGACACTTTCTATGCCCTAATTTGCAAGCCCATCTTGTTCCTAATAATCTCAGTGTTTTATACATATCGTTCTCATAATTTCTTTCTTCGTATTCCAAATTTTGAAGTAAGCCGTCCAATATTTGACGCACTTCTTCCTACGTTAAAGAATATTGATATCACATGAATATCGAAATGACAACAGTTTGAAATAACAGCATTATAATTTAATTTTAGTACGTCGCGTTGTTTATCGGGAACAGATATTTATATACATATATAACTACGTGATACATGCGTGACATATATCTCAACTTATATGTACATTTTTATAATCAGGAACAGAGTATTTTCTATATATTGGTCTGAATAATTCATCTTCAATATTATGAAACTTTTTTATGACATTTGCAGACTACGTGTCCCATAATTAACTAATGAACTGATGAAATTCGGTTTACCGTGCCTACCTTGATATGTTTCACTCCCGTAGCCGGATTATTCCAAATAGGCCACATAAACGATAGAATATTAAACATGGGATACCAGGCTATGTAACTTACATCGTGCTTTAAATAACTTGCAATTCTCCAAAATGTAAGCGGTGATATGTAGTCTTGTGTCATAAAATAATATGCATCATCAATCAATTGCGCGCGATTGAGGATATTTATTTGATTACAATTATCAGAGTGCAAAGCATTTGCAATTCGATTCCAACTATTTTCATCATAATTCACGCGAAAGTATCCTGTTGTAAATTAAATAATCATTATATTGTTAATTTATATTTGTATTCACGGAAAACTATTGTAAATAAAATAAAACATGTATTATGTCGAAATTGTTTTACGCTTTAAACTGACAGTATAACGAACTTACGTGGTATGTATACAAGGTGATTTGAAACAAGCAGTTGTCTTTAATATGTCATATTCTTGAGCAAATTCTAAGACTATTATTTCTGTTGCAAAATGTTATCCAATGCTTAGTTACTGAATTATTAAGATAAACAGTTCGTCTATTACGCGCCGGGTACAGAAGGCAAGCAAGGACGGAACAATTAATATCCTATTAATTTATAATATTATATTTGCTATTACGGTTGCCACGGTTGTTCAAATTTTTAAGTTTTGAAAATAATACGGATGAATGTTATTACATATGTCGATTAACATATCGCATCGAGTGACCAACGTCAGCGCCTAGGCGGCACGAGCCCCAACGGTTACTCGTACCTGCCTGCTTTCCATACCCGACACTAGACGAAATATTTATCTTAATAACTCAGTAACTAAGCATCGAATAATATTTTGCAAGAGGAAAAATAGTCTTAGAATTTGCTCAAGAATATGGCATATTAAGTACTGATTGTTTCGAATCACCCTATATATACACTTACCATTTTGTTCTCTATTAAATATAACAAAATCAATATTATGCTCCAGCTTAATAGTTGTAATTTCAGAAGTAGTTATCACAACATCACTGATCATGTAAGACAAAGGATTATATGAAGTATAAGTTGTCGGTACTATCCACGTGTATTTTCTCATGTCGACACCACCAGTGATATTTAATATCACTGTATTATTTTGACGATTGTGAAAAACATTTATAACAGGATAGTATCTTTGACTTAACCACGTATCCATAATTTCATTAATTCCAACCATTTGATTCGTACTGTCATCAAGTCTACGTTGTAAGGTGGTCCAAAGATTAGAAGGAGTGGCAGGACGAAACTTACTATAAAGAGAAAAGTTCAACGTTACGTATATGTGTGCGCGCACGTGTGTATGTTTTATGTCATTAATAATTTATAAATTTTACAATACAAAACACATTTTTACTTAATCACGTGTTCAGTTGAACCATTTAACGTAAGTGCATAAATATACCGAAATTCTACGTAATAAATAATATGCCCCTCTTAAGCCCGATTAATTAATTAATACATAAACATATAAATTTGAAATAGTATAAATTCTGTCGTATATATAGTTATTTTTAGAAGCAATTATAGTGAAATGTTATATATAATGATGCTACAATGTGTTACTTACAATTTGTTAAAATATTCTGTAACAGCTAATTGAAATTTATTCCACGTGATCATACGCTCTATCATGCGTAAAAGAGCAAAACCTAAAACAGTACATTAAAACGAAACAATTTTATTAATTTACATAGAGTAAGGACTAAGTTTCATAATTTGTATGGTATTTTCTTCCAAAGATAAATGAATACCTTTTTAAAATCTCCAGTTAAACACTAACCTTTATTATAATACCAACGAGAACAGAGGGAGACATCGATCTCATCCGCAATTCGTGCATTATATTCGGAAAGAGCTATCATCTGACAGTTAGTTTCATACTGAAATGTTGACTGAAGAATTTGGATTGCATAGAGATCTGTTAATTGTGAACCGATGAAAATCTAAAATAAATCATTCTGATATAAAATATACTAAACTTCTGATACTAAAATATACGCTGGTGTACAAATTAACATAACGCAAATGTACTCCATATTCCAGCAAACATAAATATATAACGGTTATATCAGGTGTAGTAAAAAGAAATCCATTATTTTTCCAGTAGATAGCTTTAGTTATCTGTATCTCGCGTTGTATAAGTCCGATCGGGTTCCACTAGATGGCGTTAGAAAGATGAGATTTCGTACTAAAAAAACTTTTCTGACAGTTTTGTGATTAGTTGACTCAGTTTTGTTTGAGCGCGCGTCAAAGATGGACACTAGCAAAGAGAAAATACGCTATATTTTACAGTTTTTCTTCGATAAAGGCGGAAACGCAAGCCAGGCGGTTGAAAATGTGAATAGTGTTTATGGTTCTTATACTGCAACAGCCAATCACATGCAATTTTGGTTTCGTCGATTCCGTTCCGGTAATTTCGATGTCAAAGATGCACCACGCACTTGAAGGCCAATTGTCGAAAATATCGATAAAATCATGGACATTGTCGAGTCCGACCGTCATGTAAGCACTGTTTCGATTGCCCAAGAGCTAAAGATTGCACAAAAAACCGTTTGGAACCATTTGAATAAGGCTGGATACAAAAAGAAGCTCGATGTATGGGTGCCACACGAGTTAACGAAAAAAAACCTCATGGACCGAATTTCCATCTGCGAATCGCTGTTGAATCGCAACAAAATCGACCCATTTCTGAAGCGGTTGATCACTGGTGATGAAAAGTGGATCACTTACGACAACGTCAAGCGAAAACGGTCGTGGTCGAATCGCGGTGAGCCGGCGGAAACGGTGGCCAAGCCAGGATTGACGGCCAGGAAGGTTTTGCTGTGTGTTTGGTGGCATTGGCAGGGAATTATCTATATCTATGGAGGCAACAGTAAGCGACAAGAGGCGTGCGCGCGCGACGAGAAGCGAGCGAACGCGAACGACGAGCGAGCGAGCGCAAGCGACAAGAGGCGGCCGCCCAGCGCTCTCTACGCGCTCATTGGCTCACATGTTTCAATTAATAACTCGATAATTATTGCCAATTTGACATTATGGCACATGACTTTTCTTCTCGGCTACACCCAATCTACCAGTACACAAAATATTAATGATCACACTCCGGACACCCTGTATACACATGTATGCCTAAAATAAATATAACATGTTACTAAAATACTACAGGACAGTTACTGTATATAACGAGACCGTAACTTATGTATAACAGTTATGTATAACAGTTATGTTATGAGGTTTCAGGCAAATGTTATATGGCTGAAATATAAAAATTACATAAAATGTGTGACGATAACCCTTATAACTGTCATGCTTACAAAATTAAATATTTGTCATTCTATTAATTCTTTCCACATTAGCAGTAGCGGTATTCCATATTCAATGAGGTTTGCATATGATTGTAAAACGATTAGAAAAATTAAAAAATATCTTCCACACCGATCATTTGCCTTTAAATCCAAAAATTTCTGGCCTTCCAGTAATGTTGATAGTTATATATATTAACCTGGTTCATGATATAATGACTGTAAAGCTTCGATAGTGATTCGCCTATCCACAGGTCGGCCCATCGAGACTGAGTAACCACTGCTGTAAACAGCTGACGTGCCATTTGGTGTGAAATGACCTCACCGATATGAGCCTTGCGGCCAGGGAAATCGATATCTTTATCATATAGAACATCTTTTTCGCTGTAAATTGTGAATTAACATAATCAGGTGATGACATGTAGAAATGGCAGTATGCTTTTCTACAATTTAGCTCCTTCATAAATTACATAAACGTATGAAGTTAATTTAAAAGTTCTAATAACGAAACCCATTAAACACTGCATGATAATAATGTAACATCTATTTTATTGTTAGATATGTGAATTAGTTCGGTCCATCTGGCGGTCAATTGCTGTACTATGTAATTTTCTAATCTCTGTCTATTAAAGGCTTTATTTTTTAGTTTTGATATCTGACAATAATATTCAGTTGATAAACGTTTGGGTTTGTAACAACAACATCGTGTTTATCTGATTTGAAAATGTCGAAATTCGAGCCAAAAAAAGCATCATCTCCGAGAAGTTCTTATTTTCATTTGAAGAAAACAGTCGCTGAAGCTCATCGAATGCTCGTAGAAGCTTATGGTGAAAGTGTTCCCACCATGCAGAGAATCATGCAGAGAATGGTTTCGACGTTTCAAAAGTGATGATTTCAGTGTCGATGACAAACCTCGTTCAGGTCAGCCGAAGAAGTTCGAGAACGAGGAATTGCAGGCGCTAATCGATGAAGATCAGTGTCAATCGCAATATGAGCTCGCGCAATTATTGAATATTGATCGATCAACAATTTCTGTGCGTTTGGCAGCCATGAAAAAAATTAACAAAGAAGGAAGATGGGTGCCGTAGGAACTGAAAGAAAGAGTCATCGAGAGGCGAAAAGCCATATCTGAAATCTTGCCTGCCAGGCAAAAAAGAAAAGGTTTCTTGCATCGTATTGTGACTGGAGACGAGAAGTGGATATATTTCGATAATGCCAAACGAAGGAAATCTATTAGTGACCCAGGAAAATCATCCACATCGATACCAAAGCGGAATATTCACGGCAAGAAAGTAGTGCTCTGTATATGGTGGGACCAGAAAGGTGTAGTGTATCATGAACTATTAAAACGGAGCCAAACCATTCCTACCGAACTTTACTAACAACAACTGATCCATTTAAACAACGCATTGAAGAATAAGCGGTCGGAATGTGCAAAGAGACACGACAAAGTGATCTTCCAGCACGATAACGCTCGGCCACATGTTGGAAAGATTTTGAAGGCCACCTTGGAAGCACTGGGCTAGGACGTTTTACTTCCGTAATCACCAGACCCGCCGTATTCACCAGACATTGCTCCATCCGATTATCATTTGTTCAGATCGATGGTACACGGGCTTTCGGACCAGCATTTCAACAATTATGAAGAAATAGAGAAATGGCTCAATGAATGGATCGCTTCGAAAGACGAGTCGTTTTTCCGTCACGGAATACAACAACTGTCAGACAGATGGGAAAAAATAATAGCAAGCGATGGCAAATACTTTGATTAGTATGCTTTTTTATGTTTTTTCATACTAAAGTCTTTTTTGGAAGAAAAAAACGGACCGAATTAATTCATACACGTAATATATACCTATATATTATAAGACCAAAACATCCCATTGAATTTATTGTATTATTGGGGAACACTATGTGATTCCTCTTAGGCAATACACCGATTAATCCCGTAAAGAATGTCAAGTAATAATTGGCAGCTGCAATTATATTCGTTGCATATTGTAGCATCTTCTTTTGCGACATGTGCCAAATGGTGTCACTCTTAGATATTTCACTCTTTGTACGATTATCGTTGTCTTCAAGCAGAGCAATGAACACGTTGGAAGGAGATATCGGAGGCGTATCATTAAAATACGTCTCGTTAACGTTGCAGTGAAACTTTTCAGTGAATATTTCAGGTACATTCGAGAAAACTTTAAAATTCTTAGGATATAGTACAGATATGTTGAAAATTGCCTTTAATCCGGGCTCATCCCAACATGGAAACATTCTCCGAGCCATGTTAGGTTGCGTGATGATTAACCTATCGTTAGAACATATTGTAAATATAAAATATTTAACCATTCTATAACATAAACGATGTGGAAAAGAGTTTTCTACATATATGGATAAATTATACATAGAAAAAATTGGATATATTAGCATGTGTCGCGATGGTAGAGAGTAGCGCGCTCGAATGCTAGAGCTTGTAGTGCAGCCCATTTAGTCTAACAATAGCTGTCGACGTACTTTTTTCCCTTAGTTACGCGACGGCAACTATTGCTAAGCAAAGTGGTTCGCTAGAAATTCGAACGTCCGAGCGCGCCATCCAGTATCGCCGCGACATACGCTAATTCATCCCATTTATTCCATGCATAACTCCGTCCATTTTAAAGATTTTTGCAAAATGCTATTTGATCCTTTTCTTTATTTCAATCAGCTGTATGTCTCTATTGGCTATTTGAATTACAAACATAATGCACATATATGAATTATACAAGATGTTCCATAACTCGCTACAAAAAATTCGTGGGGATATAGAACGAATTAAGACAAACATATAGCTTCATACCGTTTTGCGATATTCGCAATAAGTGTTGAATTAATAATTATAGAAATGTGACGAGTGAACGCACACAGATATGCATACCCGTATTATTGCGCGTCCAATCGATTCAGCAACTGTTGTCGGTATGTGATGAAGAGAAGGACAATGCTCCGCGCTGTTTGTCTTATCTTAACGGCGAGATGCCATTCCTAGATCTCGCCGCACGCCAGCTGAATCGATTAGATCGCGTTAAGCCGAACGACTCTTCCAATATTATCGGCGCACGATCACTAGTATTGACTTTTATGATTCATAACACTCGATAATTATCGCGAATATTGCAAAACAGTATGGGAATTTTATATTTGTCTTAATCTGCCATATGTTCCATGTTACGAATTCATTGTATCGACTTATGAGATATTCTCTACATAACTCATTATATTAATATTGTCTGCATATGATCTCACAAAATTGTACGAAATTTAATTTATATATATGTCAATATTGAAAAAAGGCTGGTATACAAATGTAAATTATGTAAATGCTTGTTTTCGCAGTTATGATCATTTTTAATTGATTTATATACCGACATAGGGATTATGAACNGTTAAAGGATACTGCAGGCAAAGGCCTGTTTCCACATTTATTTAAACTGTCGAAAATCGACATTCCATCGAACCGATACCAGATGCAAGATCAATATTACGATTTTCACATTATGGCAGAGGACTTTTTTGTTCCTCTCACTTAGCTCTATATCCCTACGGTCCGTGGCCCAAAGTTCTGAGACACCTATATATGTATGTAAAACATTTTAATAACTAATATGGTTATGCGTTTCCCTTGCGATGAAAATGTATTTCGTTTAAAATAATATATTGCAATGTTTAATTCTTATTATAGGCAATCAAATGTGATTTTTTTAAGGCAACCAATGTGATTTTTATGTTAAGAAAATAATAAAAAAAGTATTGCAGATTGCTCTATGAGGAAGTTTCTTTGATGTACAAATATGAAAATGTTTTTAACTACTTCAATAAATATATTAATGTATCGATATATACAAAGGTACTTTTTTCCTAATTTTATGTTTACATATACATCGTATATCCTGTAGCAGTAATTATATATGAAACTAATATTTTTTCCGTGTAATATTATATTTACCAATATTTAAAAAATAATCACTTATGTATTGAGTTCAGAAGAATACAATATAATAAATAATAATCATTGTAATAAAAAGAATAGGTTTCATAATGAAATAAGTTTATAATAATAAGTATATAGAGTGTTGCACAATATCCGCAAGTCAATTTGTATACTGGTAGAACTCGTCAGTTCAAACAAAATAGTCTTATATTTTTTGCACACAATCATATTAAATTTTGAGATTTTAATTATTAGAAATAATATTTACAAGATTTTTTTAATAACTGACTCGACAATTTACATGTTGTTTGCAAAATAGTAAATGAATATTGAAAAGTTGAGAATAATTCAAGTATATTATGTCCTAATAGCAGATTCAAAGTTTAAGATTTAAAGTTTAATATCAATGTAGTTATTGGTAGGTACGAAAATCATATTCTTGAAAATTAAGATAAGATTATTTTGAAAAAATATCATTTATCATTTTTCAAACATGTAAATTGTCGAGTCAATAATTA